ATAAATAAAATAATAATCAAAGGGCTTGATATTCATACATAGTCACTCATGCCTTGAGTGGTGTTAAATGCATGTTTACATCCCAGCTTTTCATAACGTGGCATCGCCATCCTACCTAAGACCTACCTTCTAGGCACCGTGTTTACCAAAGACTCATTTGTACTGCATGTCAATGGCAAGGGAGACAACCAAAGATCTCACTAATGTTCCTCCACTTAGGAAAACTGAATGTTGAGTTCCCAGTTTCCGCTGTTGGACCAAGCAGACAGTGTCTTTTTCTTGGGGCTGTTGTTACCTAATGCCATTAAAAAACTTGAATTTCATCATCAAACCATCTGTTTTCTTCTGCAAACTTTCACCTAAAGAATCTCCTTTTCTTTAATATGTCTTTTTAATTAAACAACATTTGTATTATTAAAATAAATTCAAGTTGCATGATGGAGATTGAGAACTACTATATATTTTTCTTTTAAAAAATTAATGCACGAAGACTTATTATGATTCTTAGTAATCATATTTTTTGTGTAACGTGTGAATCCTTCTAAAGACAACTCACTCTATAAAATTTTATAAAAAATTATTTTATATAAACTCTAAATTAATTCTATGTAACAATAAAATATCATATAATTAATTATATAATATAAATAATATCAAATTACGTAATTTAAATCATCATTAGCATCATGTAAGAGACTCTTCAATTTGAGTCGCCTCCATCTAATAACTTGTCTTTTGTAGTCTTCAGTTCAGAAAACCCTACTTATCAAGAAGTGATCTTTCCCTGCTCCGAAGCACTCCGATGTCCAATCTCAACAATTCTCCCTCTAAGAACTTGTATTTTGTAGTCATGAATTCAAAAAACCGAAAGGAACGCCTACATATCAAGAAGTGATCTTTCCCTATTCCAGAGCACTCCCACGTCCAATCTAAAAATTTCCAAGCGGCCAACAAGAGCACAATCCCATGAGGCTACTTAGGTCAAAGATGCTTGGTTTTTGATAGTTGGAATTTCACATTCTCCATCGCATCACCTTTTACTTTCACATTCAAATTAACATTATAATATCAGAAAGACTAATCACAAATACCTCGCGTACGGTTCCATTGGCAATTTTTTGCTATTTTTCAACTTTAAGGATCAAGCACGTAATTATCTTTGGAATTTGCAAAGATAGAGATTCCGACTGAATTGGAAATCCCTGATTGGCTTGTCGGGCAAACTTGCAATAAAATGTAGTGCTTCTGTGGGGCTAACTTTGGTTTTTCTATATATTTGTCAATGATTCCCAATCCCATTTACAATAGTCAACTGTTTCGTATACTCAACCATGTAGGGATAACAACACATTAATTATGAACGGAGTCTCCTCTAGAAGATGTCACAATTGTTAAAAGGTTAAACTTTTATATTAGAGATGCTTATCTTATGTAAGGTGGGGAGGAATTTAAATTTGAAAGGATTATCTATCTATCATCAAATATATTAAAAAAATTTTATAATTATGTGAGTCAAAAATAATTATAATTATTATTGTTTAAATAATAATATATATTTTTTTAATCTGAACTGCACTTTTATTGTGCAATCTAAATTATAAATATATCAATGTAATTTTAATAAAACTCTTATACGATAACTTATAAGAGCTGATTTAGTAATTTTGATGTCCAAATTATATATTATAAGTACAATTTAAACTAAAAAATATTATTTTTATTTTTATTTATTAGACTCTTGTAATTTAAAATATAAATACTTATCATTTTTCAAGATCTTGAAAAAGTGTAATTATTGTCATCATAAAAAATATTAAAGTCAAAAAAAAATTTTAAGTTAAAAATATTAAGTTATTTATTAATTTTAATTTATTAATAAATCAATATTAACGGTTTTATCTATTATTACAATTAATAGTCATAATTGTTTAATGAGAACTACTTTTTGTACAATTCTTTTATCATACATTTTTGTATAATCTGAGTGTCATTAAAATGATTGGTTTTTTAAATTCATGTGAGATTCATATATTGAATGTATTCACTCATTTAATGATATATAAAAGTTGTATAAAAAAATAAAACAGAAAATTATCTTTATAACACCAACCTTATTTAATACTTTTATTAATTAAATTAAATTGAATTAATATTTTTAAAGTAAATATTTTAGCATTTTTAACGAGTCGTAACCCCGCCCAAAACCGGTTTGGGGCAGTGGAATCAATGGAACAAGGTCCGTTTGTCCGGTATTTTCAACCTCTCCGGTTTGTCTTTTTTCCAGGTTCTGAGGTTGACAATTAAACCTACATTTATTTATTGAAACGCGCATCATCGTTCATCGACCTTTATTGTCTTTTCTTTTCCTGTTAAATAATGTATGCATTTCGCAATCTGCTATTTGCCCTATTGATTGGTTCTTCTGAGAAATTGAAGGAAGAAAGATAATCAGACCAAACATGGCAGAAACAAGGCTGTCTTGTAGGAACAAGAGGTGGTCTCTTGAGGGCATGACTGCTCTTGTCACTGGCGGAACCAGAGGCATTGGGTTTGTTCTCTGTTTTCTTCTCTTTAATTTCCCTTTTCCTTTGCTGTCATGTTCATTCTCTTCTTTTCATTACCTAATATGTCAGATATGCAATTGTGGAAGAACTATCAGAACTTGGAGCCGTAGTTTACACATGTTCCCGTACCCAGACAGAACTAGATGACAGGCTGCAAGAATGGCAGAGTAAAGGGTTTAAAGTAAGTGGCTCTGTTTGCGACCTCGCATCCAGAGAACAGAGACAGAAGCTTATCGAGTCTGTCTGCTCTACTTTTGATGGAAAACTCAATATCCTCGTAAGTTCACTTGAAAAAATGCCACTTCAGTTCGAATTTCTTGTAGTGATCTTTAAGATTGTCCTGTTTTTTCTTGTAAATTCAGGTGAATAATGCTGCAACTACGAGGGTCAAAGAGTGTCTGAAACATACTCTGGAAGATTACTCCAACTTAATGACTACCAATTTCGAGTCTCCATACCATCTGTGTCAGCTTGCTCACCCTCTCCTGAAAGCATCAGGAAATGGGAGCATCGTTTTTATCTCCTCCGTCGCCGGCACAATGGCTCTGCCTTCTTCATCCGTTTATGCAGCAACCAAGGGAGCCATCGACCAAGTCAGCAAGAACTTGGCATGCGAATGGGCGAAAGATAATATCCGCGTCAACACCGTCTCCCCATGGGCTGTCAATACCACCATTGGACGAGCAGTACAACCTGTAAGATGTATTACATATCATCTTAGTTTTTGAAAATTTAACATGTATAGGTTGAAAAACAAAACACGTATTTAAGTCATATGTTTCTTTTTTATTTTCTCGATGCATGATTTTCCCTTGGTTAAGTTTTCAAGTTTCATGAACTTAAAACGTTGTACTAATTCTTCTGATTTGATTAAGGACTTGGATTTTCCGGCTGTTGAGCTATTTCTGAAGCTAATACAGGGAACTCCAATGGGTCGGCAAGGGGAGCCTAATGAGATATCGTCGTTGGTGGCCTTCCTTTGCCTTCCGGCAGCTTCGTACATCACGGGGCAGATTGTTTACGCCGATGGAGGATATACGGCCGGCGGATGTTGGCCTCCACCGACTCTCAGCCTGGATCAACTTAAGTCACGCTTCTGTAATTGTGATTAATATGTCTAAGGAATAAATAAAACAGCAGTTTGTAAGTTTAAACTCTGGGCGGTTCCTAGCTATTGTATTCTATGTTAAAGAGCTTCTGTGTCCATATTCCCTATCAAAAACTCTGTTTTTTTTTTTTTTTGGGGTCTACCTCAAGTGTGTGATATTGTCCAGATATTTAAAATATATTTCTTTCCGTTGACAAATTTCATTTCTTTTAATTTTATAAAAACTGTAAAA